GCAAAATCCTTCCTGGCCAGCGATTAGCTCGGCTTCAGGGCACTCAAAAGTTTTAGGTAAAAGTTTTTCTGGCGACCAAAGCTCACCCAAGGAGCGAAGAGAAGAGGGAGCCACCCGTGGCTAAGTCGCAGCGAATTCCTGTGCAGGTTGAATGTCCTTTTTGTCATTCCTCATACGTGGGGGAAAGGGGCTCCCTCCAGGGAGCCACTCTCCTCAAAGCCATAGAAAACATGCGGGAATAACGACCGACCAGGCGCCAGAGGCACATTGTCAGCTGCAGACGCAGGAGTTTTTGCAGGACATGGCCATAGTTATGGCTGTGGGTGCAGGGTGTCGCAGGCCCCGAACCGTTTCCGGACCCAGTCTCAGGTGCATCGAAAAAACAAATTTGAAACTTTCCGAGCATGCGTGCCACACACACACACACACACACACACACACAACGCATCCGAGAAGGTATTTTGATTGGCCTCCACCCAACCACAATTAGGCCTTGGGGCAGTGTCCATTTATGGAGTTGCTCCCTTTGGCACTGTCACTGCCACTGGCCTTTGGCTTGTTCTCCAAATCGAAGTTTCCTCCTCAGTACCAAATACAAATTGCTTTGCCAGCTGTTGCAACGGAGCCAAAGAGTTAAAGGGGTGTGAACAACTGGGGAATTTTGTGACTGAAATCCTTTCAAGAGATGCCCAGCATGCGCCATGGTTGAACCCAAAAGTGTAAGGCAGGACCAGGACCTGCAGCGAGAGTGGTTCCTTGGCGGCTGTGCACACAAAATGCAATTTTAGGGGGCAGCCCCTTTCACAAGGCAGCCCTAGAAAATGCAGGAAGAGTGTGGCAGAAGGGCAGGCAGAGTGTGGCAGACGGGCAGGAAGAGTGTGGCAGAAGAGCAGGCAGAGTGGGGCACAAGAAGGCACAAGTAAGCACACACTGCCACTATAAACATACTTATGAAACTTACAACTTAAAACTTAAATGATAGGAAGTAAAGGCAGAGAAGCGCGTTGCCTATTTCCTAGCGAAAACTTTCCAGACTTTGCCCCAAACAGTGTGCAGCAGCTGCAGGAGGGGGGGTGGAGTGGTGTGCAATGGATTTATATATGCTATACTCGTACTCCCTTATGTGTTGGCCTTGGCTTAGTAGCAAAATGCTAATAAAATAAAATAAAATAAAATAAAATTCCATAAACAATGAAGTGAAGCCTGCAATGTGGGAGAGCAATGAAGTGAAGCCTGCAATGTGAGAGAGGGTTTGCTTTACATGGAAAATATGCAAATGTAAATGGAAGCCAAAGTGCTGAGTGCTTTGAAATTATATAGTTGAGAGGGCAGAAATTAAACCCTCAACCATTCAGTTTTCAATATGAAAAACATTGAATTTTGGAAGCACTTGTTTTGTCCTTGCCATCGTTATTGATTACCATAATTCACTTCTGGCTGTTTATGCTGGCAATTTCCAAGAATCTAAGAGCCAGAAGCCATTGATAAACAATACACATTTTAATATTCATAGACAGAAGCCTCGGGGATAAGCAGAATATTCCTGACTAGTATTAATATTTGCCAGCTGTGGGGCGATAAAATCTCTTCTCACTTCCACTTAATTGCAATCAAAAAAGAGGAAGCTGCCTTCCATCTATGAAAATATATCTCCTTTAGGAGCAAAAACTTATTGGATTTGGCAAAGACGATTTCCATTGTCATGTTTCTTTAAGGGTTTGCTTTTTTATCAAAAAAATTCTCTCAAGGTTTTCGTTTGCTCATAAATTGTTTGTAGTACTCGTGTAGTACATATATGTAAATCCACTCACTGACTACCTTTCGTTCAATAAGCTGCTTTACATGCAACATTTTGTATTGCTTTGCATTCTATTTTCCCTTTCAAAAATAGTTTCAATATTCCTAATGGGAAATCTCAGCTTATAGCCAAACCTCAGTTAGATATATGGTATATAGCAGGCACAAGCTGGGGGCAAATAAAGCATATGTACATGGCTTCAGGGCGCTGCATATGCATTTCACACATTGCTATACTACTGTGCCCCTCCCTGGCAGCGCAGAGCAAACATAAAGATGAAATGCAAAAACAGCTGAGTGAAGAAACTGTGGACACAAAAAAGAATGCAAAGGAGATGATATAAAACTTGACACCCAACCAACACACAGACACCACAGGCCGACGCACACCGAGGCGCAGCCATTTCCGCTTTCAGGAAATGAAAGTCTCCTCCGTGGAGAGCGTGTGTGCAGGTGCGAGTGTGAGTCTTTATAAGTACGTGAATGTTTGTTTGTGCAAGTTACGTGCGTAGTCAAACAATTTATGGATGGAAGGACCCCCCAGCGAAAGTCAGAGAGCGGGCTTACAGGTCGCATGATTCGCAAAAATGGTGTAAGCGAACATTTTTGCATCTTCCTCTTTATTACCTCTCTCACTCTCACTCTCTCTCTCTCTCTCTCTAGGCCTACTTTTCGCCCCTTCTTTCTCTTTCTCTCACTCTCCTGATATTGTTTATTAAAAATTGTTGTTTATTCAGGCTTGATAAATGGGACGGCCACTCTGCCACTCTGCCGCTCTTTTTTTTATTTTCGCTCTGGCGCATTGCTACATATTGTTGGAGTCATCTTTTAAATTGAATTTCTGTGAAGGCGTTCGCACGTATGCGTACGTATGCGCGATATTCTGTGCCAGGAAAATAAAAGAAAAAGGTAGAAAAACAATAGTGGCAACGACGACATCCAACGAAAGGGATACGCTTCGCAGTTGTTGTATCCGCAATCCACTATTGCCTTGGGATCCCTTAAAGGCATCCCTCTCCACTTGCTCTTTAAAGCTGGCAGCTTCCCCGTTTTGATTGCATCTCTCAGACCTTACGCAATAGTTGTTGGTACTTTCATCCGACACGATACTTAAGCTGGCAATGATGCCACTTTCTTGACAATTATCCACTCTTGCTGCCAACTACCACACGCAGCATCTAGCATAAAATCTGTTTGATGTAGCAGCCTGACATATTCGATTTCTGGTTTTGCCTAATGACTTTTCCTCCCTGTCCCTGTCCCTGTCCCGCCCTGCCCCGCCCATGCAGAAGCCAGCTAGCCATAGTTAGCTAACAATATGTGCGATTCTTTGTTGGTCTTTGCGTGTGCCTGTGGGTGCCTAATTAATATCTTTATGATAATGGAGAGCCAACGTATGCAGGACGAGAAAACAGCTGTCAAAAAGATGAGAGATGAAAGATGAAAGTCTGGGGTTATGGGCTGATGGGTGATACGTTGTCTTGTTAGGTATACCACCCAGTCGAGTCACTTTAGCGCTGCCCACTTGCCGCATAGTTCATTAAATTAGTGACTGCTGCTTGAACCAAATCTTTTCCTTCACTGGTTCCTGTAATGGGAAAAACCTCTTCCACTGCCTCTCATAATGTGGAAAAGTGTCTTCCACTGCTCTTTCAAATGGAAAAACCTCTTCCACTGCTGCTTGTAATGGGAAAAACCCACCTAGACTCTTTCTTGCTGCACTCCTTCTAATGGGAAAACTGCGGTTGGCTGCTACTCATCGTGGAAATTAGTGCCAGGCGGGACGACGACGACGACGACAGCGCAAAGCCCCCATTGTTCTCGCCGTCTTATCTGGTAATTGCTGGACAATGAATGCGGTTCAAAGAGGCAAAGGAGAGCCCCACAAAAAAGGCACATTATGTAATTAGATTACTGCGCGGAGGGGTGAGGGGGTGTAAAAATCAGTTGAACTTTCCGCCCATTAATTGTCTGCGAAAGGCGTTCAAACTGTTCGAGCAAGATGCGTACCACAAGCCAAAAGAAAGAATATTGACCTTCGGAAATTTCCTTTCGTTGAAAACTTTTTGCAGCAAAGTTCTTGGGGGTTAAAGCCCCCAAAGAGACAAGATGTTGCCTCTAATGGACACGACGACAGCTTTAAGTCCTTGGGCTCCGGGAGAGTTCTATGAAGGTCTATGGCCAGTTGGTCAATCCATTCGACCATGGCTATCAATCAAACGCATCCGGATGACAAATGCCCCGTGGAGAGGAACGGAGGATCTGTGGACGTGCAGTGAAGTGGCTGTTCCGCTGAAATTATGCACACCAACCACAGAGGACACACAGAGCACACAGAGGACCTTCCCTGGTGGGCTGTTTATTTGCCAAATGCCCAACAATGTGTCCTACACAAACAGCCACTCGCAGAGGGAGGAGCGGGGTACACACACGAGCAGCCATGAATGCTGCTGCTGCCGCTGCTGCTGCATGGCCCGGAAATAGGCTGGCAGACATTTTGAATGTGCGGAAGGCTTGCCATAACATCGACAGCCACTGAATAGATTTACAACAGGATTGTCATGCCCGTATATGCCGGTTGTTAAATGTTTGCAGCATCAGCATTTAATTGTTTAACCAAATTATCATTTCCAAATGGCGAGCGGGGAGCGGGGAGCGGGCAAGAGGCACACAAACACTTTGGCTGGTAGCTTTGCTCTGTGCTGAGCTGAGCTGAGTGCTGAGCGGAGGCTCAGCGTAATCCTGGTAAGCCATCCATTACGGATTGCTACAGAATTAAAAGTTATTAATTTAACATCCTTGCTGTTGACTCCAAAGTAAATGTTTGCGAGTAATGTCTGCCTTTTGTGTCAATATTTATTACATTTAATAGAATTTTTCAACGAATTTTCTTGTCACAAATAAAAGACAAAATAGTTTTGCTCTGTGGAAGGAATTGGTGTTTACAAATTCCGCATATATTCAATGCAATTAATTCCAACAATAATAGAGTTCGTTGCGACGCGTTGTCGTTCGCTTACATTCGCTTCCACGAGAGACTGCCAAAATGTACCCAAAAATAATAATTTTACATGAAATGCACAATGAAACCGAGGAACAAGAACGGGAATTTTGGTGGCTTGTGTTCTTTAGTGTAGTGTAGTGTAGTGTAGTGTAGTGTTGTGCTGTGTAGTGCAGTGTATTTTGTTGTGTGTAGCTGCAGTTTACCAAGCTATGCCAGTGCGGGACGACAGCACATGGGGCAGGATGCTGTTGGTGTAGCTGCGCGTCTGCTCGGCGTGCTGCAACTTGGCCAGGAACATGCTGAAGATCTCCACGGGCAGGGTGCTCTCCAGCATCTGCAGGAACGTCTCCTGGTGGGTGCACACGCTGGTGGCGTTCACCATGTGCGTGATGCCAGCATCAATGTCGCCGATCATCAGCCGATGCTCCCCCAGGTGGATCTGCTCCAGAAAGTATTGCTCGGTGTTGGTCTTCACGAGGCCGCGCAGTGCCTGGGCGGGTGTCTGTGCCACCTGTGCCGTCGATGGTTCGGTGGTGGCCGCACGCTGCTGCTGCTCCTTGGCCAGCATCGCCTTGCGGCGACGGGCGTGCAGCTTCCGCTTGTAGTCGGGATCGGTGCGGCGTTTTTTGTCGAAGTAAACGCAATACCCGAGTACGGACGAAATGGCCGTGATGGCCAGAAGCTTACAAGTGCCACTAATCATTTCGAATTTCTCTACTCGTGCTGTCCCGTTTCGGAGAAACAATATTTTCACAATTTTGGACGATCAACTCCGTACTACACAAGGATCTTTTGTATACTGAATATTTTGTGGGGCAAGCCCAAAAGGCCAGGCAAGGGTTTGGGCTACACGGCCTACTACATATGCGGGAGCCTAAACATTTTACAACATTTGTAACATTTATTCGGAAACATTGCTGCCCTTTAAATGATTGTCAGAAAAACATATTTTGCTGTGGGGAAAACCTCAAATTGAATGCAGTTTTCTATTTGTTTTTGGTTTATTAACAGAGCAGCCGTCCATTTCAATGTTCGTTGCGAATGTTCAACTGTCAATTAAACCCATCCGTCACTCCGGCACTGTGTTAATCCGTCTAAATGTCCTTGTCCGTTTATTTTTGGACATTCCCCCACACACAGAAAAACATCAGAACATACCACAGGAAATTTACACCAAAAATAAAACAGAGCAAAAAGTAAAGGAAAGAAAAGAAAAGAGAAAAAAACAACTGATGCTCTGAGGTGAACGTGACAGTTGGATTTGTTGGCTGGCAGACGTTATTTTTTGGGTAATGCAGAGGAACTTTAACCTTTTCGGTCATCAGTCTTCGCTACTGCCGACATACATATGTAGTTGCTGCAGCATATGTTTGGGGTATAATATGTGGGAATTGATTGCCACCCACCACACACCACACACATTCACGCACCACCACAGACACCCTCTGACAATTTGCGGTGTGAGCTGCGACTCGCACTGCCTCACAAGTGTCTCGCATTCAGTCGGTTGCCAGTGGCAACGCTTCAGCTCTCCCCATAGGCATAGAATACATATGTAATGAAAGAATCTTTTCAACTGACTCTCCACACTCCACGCCCTTAAAGGCTTTTTTCTTTTTTCTGGTGGCTGCCATGACAATGTGGAGAAAAAAGGGAAAAGCGGCAGGAGAGGGTGACAAAACATCGACCTATTATGCAAATTGTTATTCGTAGGCTTTCATACCATTAAATGGCATTTCCAGGAATCGTAGAGATGTTACCATCAAATCCTATTACATTCAATAAAATGGTTGGAGCACGACTTTATTGTTAAGTTATTACAACAAGTCATTTGACGCATTAGCAAGCGACTTTTACACCAATCAAAAAAGTGTAGCTCCTTCTTTTTGTTGATTTTGATTTTGATGGCAAAATGACCATCCATGAACTCTGCCGGTGATTCAATTAGATACGAGTAGGTGACTGAATGAATGAATAAATTTTCAATTACATTTGGTAATCGCTGGCCATTATGCGTGGCTCTTCCTGCTACGTTCTTTGTCCTTCATTGAGGCTAAAATGTGTTTGATTTTGGCTATGAATGGAGCGCACATAAATCCATCAGTAAATATGGCAGTGGCAGCCAAATGGGGCAACGCATCTCTGAAAGGATTTATAGAAATCTTTTGCATTGAATTTGGCATTGAAGAACCTTTCGCCCCATCGGCACTTACAGTAATAACCAAATATATATGGACATACTGCTGGCTCCAACCACTCGTGCATGCTCAACGGACGCTGTGAGCTTTGCATGAATAATTTGAATGTACAGTTGTGCAGCTACTAATGAAATTGAGCTAGAAAATGACTATTTGTTCAGGCAAATGAAGCCCTACTGAATATTTACTTATAAATAGTATTAATTTTCATTGGGCAGCCAATTTCCTGTAACCAATTATAAACAGTAAGCCAAGAGAGCAGCCCACACGACTGCTGTTCCATTATACAATTTTCAGAAGCAAACAAATGTGAGTACGAGATGGATTGCATGTCCAGCACAAGCGGTACCTATGTACATATGGTCCAGTATATTTAATTCACATAAATTACACACATTTGTGGGCCCACCTACACAACAAAAGATTCAACAATGCAATTTATTTGCACAAAAATATGGCATTAAATGCCACAAAATGCTGGAAATAAATGAAAATAGCTCAATCGAAATGCAGTTAAAGTTCCCTTTAAATATTTCAACTTTTCAATCTTTAATTGATTTAATAGCACGAATATACACATACACTCAAATATAATATATACATACATACACATGTATGTATATTTATTTATCAGATACATATATACACAAAACGTGGCTTAGCCTAAAATGTTTACAACAATTAAAATCTTACAGCTCTTCGATGGTGACAATACGAGAGCCCTGCATGAGTCCAAAGTTCGCTCAGTCACAAAAGAATGGAGCGAGCCTTGCAAATCTGCAAATCACGTCTCAAAATATACCAACACCAGAGAGCAATCTGTTTGTGTGTGCGTGCACATGTATAGTATGCACCGTTCGTCGCCTTCCACTCCACGAAAGTTGAAGCGAAACTGTTGTTGCTCTACTCAAAGGGCGAAAACAAACGCTGCAAAATTGTTTTTGCAGTTTGCATTGGTTTCGGCTTGCTGTTGATCTGTCGCCTGATAAATATTTGCGCAGGTAGATGGGCAAAGCCAAACAAAGCCAAAGCTCTCTCGCTCTCTCCAGCAGCGGCGAACTAGTGATCGATGGAAGTGCAGAGTACCGTACCCCGTGCTACGGAGGGTATATTCGACAGTGTGCTCATGCAGGGCTCTTGCATTTCATACAGTACTTTTTACAAATTGAATTTCTTTCTTTTCGTTGACAACCGGAAATTCTAGTTTCACTAAGGGGGCATGGTATTTACGGGTCGGTTCTATGAATATTTCTATGTACATTTAGAGCGAAACCAATTCAAATCTCCCTTTGGGGGCATCAGAGCTGCTTGGGACTGCTGCTGTCGACTGGATTATTGTCCTCGTCACAGGAGATGTACTTGATTTTCACGCGCTGCCGCTCCCCCAAGCTATTGTTGATGGACAGACAGAGATTGGAGCTATTATCATCCGCTGCACGTTCCATAATGCACTCCACTGCCGCACGGTTGAGGCTGCTCTTCATGGACAACGGCTGACGAGTGCTGCCCCTGTCGCCCCTGGAGGATGTGGAGGTCGGCGGTGCCTGCTGCTGGATCTGTGTCTCCATTGTGCTGCGCTTCCACTGGCACTTGTTTTCGGCTATAGAATGAGGGATAATGCTATGTAGATGTGGCAGGATTATTTATATAAAACGGAGCACTTGTGGGTACCTCTTGTATGGCGAAGCGAGCTGTTCTTGTTGGTCAGCCGACTCTTGGGCGAGTCGAAACGATGGCGGGTGAAGCTTACGCAGCAGCAGCAAATGATGCGTTGGAAATACATGCGAAATCTGCAATGTAAATCCCCATAAATAATCCTGTTTTTAGCATGAACTTAATGCCACCGAAGCATACATACCTCTTGTTCATCCAATAGTAGATGATGGGATTCACCATGGCATTGGACATGGCCAGCCAATAGAAGCCCAAATACATGTGCTGCACATACTTGGTGGATGCCACCTGGTTGTTGTGGTACGCATAGATGAAGAACAGGTGGTAGGGCAGCCAGCAGATCGCAAATATCGAGACAATTGCTATGAACATGCGTACGACTTTCCGCTTGGATTTCATGGACTCCATTTGCCGATCCGTGTTCTCGCCAATCGATCGACTGCCCCAAAGCACCCGACCCATCAACGAGTAGCAGATGAGCATCACTATCATGGGTATGCCATATGTCAGCACCAATATAATCAGATTATAGCTATGGGAGGAGTTTCACAGCGGAGTTTTCAATGGCAGAATGTGTGTATGCAGCATGTGCGGGGGAATTACTCACGTATAGTCCGTTATTGACGTGGGATAACGTCCATCCGGCCACATCATGAAGCAGACAGTTCGCGATTTTCCATTGTAGTAGCTGTGAATGGTCCACTTATTAATTTAAACATCACTTTAATTACACCAAACATAAATAGCCGTCAAGTTTCACGCTTGCACAAGACAGCATAAAAACGGAATGGGGAAGGGGGAAGGGGGGGGGATGGGGAATGGGAAATGGGCTCGAAAGTGTCCTCAAATTGAAAACCTAATTTGCCAAATTATAAAACATTTGATGCCCTTAAAAGGGTTGCCCTAATGGGAGCAGGACCCTTGTCTGTGTGTGTTTCCCCCCACGCTTAAGGGCTATTTTCGGGGCCATTAACAACACGGCAGACAGGTAATAATTTGACCAAAACCCTCAAACTCTCAACCCCATACAGCCCTGAGTGTATCTGGGCAAAGCGTTATGGGGCTGTCAGTGAATGGCACCCAGTCCCAGCTCCAGTCCCAGCGCCAGCTTTCGCTCTGAATTGATTTAAATGGAAATTTGCTGTACCCCCAATCGCTCAAACCAGGACTCTGCGGTCATCCAGTTAGCATACGGATTTCCTTTTCATGTGAGAGGAGATGCTCTTCGAATTGAAGTTCATATGTGGCACTCAAATGTTTGCTTCGTACTCAATGGGGATACGGATACGGATATGTGTACGGATACGGATACTCGATACGGAAACGAATGCATTTAACTGCTGAAAACTTTATCTGTGGTTTTTCCTTGAGGGAATTTGGTTCAGCTTTATTTTTTATAGAAAAACCAAAGGGAATGCGATATTTCAGATCAATTTTCTATGGCAATTTATATGTTTTTATTTGCTAGCGTGTCGTATATATTTCATCTATTCGCCGGTTCCCGCCAGCTTAGCATCTATCGCCTCTGAGGTTTCCTCGAAATTTGTTATCCAATTTTGTGTGTGTGTGTGCACACAATCTCCGTCGCAGAAGTGTATCTCCTTGTCAGAATTTGCCATCATTTGACTCTCGTTCGAGAGCCTCCACCTTTGGCATTTTGATATATGAACTTGCCATCTTTATTATGTCTGAAGTCTGTTACCTAGGGAGACCTTTTATCCTGAAGTCTAAATGAAAAATTGCCTCAATTCTATTAAACAGGACAGCCGCCGAAAGTTGCACGAAAATTTGTGTAAAATTCAAATGAGGCAGCGCCGCCAACGCGTGGAAGGTGATTTAGCTGGATGTTAATGCTTATGGCCGCAAAGGTGTATAAACATTTGCTGGAAACTGGAATCGATGGAGCAGCAGCAGAAGCAGCACCAGCAGGAGGGAAGGCGCTGCCAAATCCCAAGCTCCATGGCTTACAAAAGTTGTTTATGCTTCATGGCACAACGAAAGAGAAAAGGAATTTCGAGCTCCCCAATGTGGCTTAGGGGATGAGAATGAGAACGAATGATGGGGGCCTGCCTGCCTGCCCGCCGCCTTAGGTGGCAATTACTGCGCTACCCACTTACTGTTTGGTCATGATGCTGGAGTAGAGCAGGCAGGGGGCCGACAGAACGCAGCTGAGTGCCCAGATCATCACCAGAATGAATCGTACCTTCCGACGGGATGTGCGACGCTTCAGCGGATGCACAATGGCGATGTACCTGCAGGAGAGAAGTAACCGGAAACGGAAGTGCCGCAACGCATTAGATTCGATGAAGGACGGAGTGCGATGCAAGGACTTCCTTACCTATCAAAACTGATGGCCACCAGCGTAAAGACCGATGTGGAGACCGACACGTTGGCCACAAAGTTATTGATGGTGCAATAAATGGAGCCAAAGGGCCAATCGGAGTTCACCATGAATATGAAATTGAAGACACAGTTCAGCGAGGACATGAGCAGGTCGGCGATGCTAAGGTTCAGCAGGAAGTAATTTGTGACTGTTCGCATGCTGCGATGTCCTGCGAAGAGTCAAAAAAAAATGTGTGCCGGATATTAGAAATGGAATGGGCCCGACCAATCGATGGCCCAATGCGGCGTATACGTGATTTTTTCAGTTTTTTCTGTTTTGCTGTTTTGCTGTTTCCTAAGTGCTTTAAAGTCGCTTTGCCAGCTGGCTTACCTGTTACAATCCACAGCACAATTCCATTGCCAGCAATGGCCACAAACATCATCAGGCCAAAAACGATGGCCCAAATTGTTTTCTGCTCCCATGGCAATTCGTACGGACGCGTCGGCGATGGGAACAGGCACTCGGTGAGAAAGTCTCTGCAAGAATCAAAAGCAAAACTCATCAGTTCAAATAACTATAATGAACATTGTGTAGGCACTGTCTGTGGGGGGCTTAAGGTATACATTTTTCACAGTTGAAATCAGTTGCCAGACTTAAGTCGGAAACTTTGTTTTGGGGCGGAAAATTCAATTAGAGATTGGGGAAATGACAATAGAAAATCAATGAAGCACAAACTGGGAAGAGAAAACTTGCCACAGCCACCAGAGAAATGTTCGCAACGAAAAATTGAAGGCGCTGCAGAAGGAGCTGCCGTGTGGACGACTGCAGGAGCCATTCCACAAGAAATTGTGTTGTAATTTCATTGGACTGACATCCGTTGGGAGGGCAGAGGAAATGAGCAGCAGCAAACGACTGGACAGGACTGAACGGGACTGGACAGGACTGGCAGGGACATCAATGGACACGCAGTCAAAGAGAGACGGATGAGTCAAAGTCAAAGAGGACTACAATCAAGAAGAGTGGATGCTCTGAACGGCACTGATTAGCATATAAGAGATTATGCTAATCACAACTACTAGCTGGCAGGATGGACCGATGGCAGCAGGATAAATGTTGCACTAATTAATTTGCAGGGAACCGCCCTTTGTCTTTGGCTTCCCTTCCTTCTTTTGATAGCCACTGGACACCACAGTCCACAGTCCGTTAATTAGTGGCACGTTGTTCGACTTATCGCTTTTGCTTTTGTCCATCTCGCTGTATGTGCCACATGTGGCATGTAACAGCAGCAGCCGAAATTCAATAAACGAATTTTCATTTCAATTTTCACTTTTGTACGAAAAACCTTCGCACATTTCTGTCTGGAGAGATGCCCCAATGATTGCCATTGTTCCGATCTTTGTGCGTATATTCGTATTTGGCTAGACCGTAATTAGGTGCGGCAGCAATTGAATTAGACCAGCAATTGGACCCCTGCCCCCCACAATGGTAAGCCCAGAGAGTTGCCACCAAATAATAAATACAAATTGATTTATTTGCCAGATTTATTTTTGTGCATTGCAGGGTTTTCCCTTTTAATTGCTTGCAAGGCCACACGCACATATGTACATATGGTTTTGGGTTTCCGATCAATGAACTTGACAATGAATTTTAGACAAAATCATCGTGGATGGATGCATACAAATGTAAAAGGTTTTTCTATGAATACGAGTATTGATACCCAAAGGCGAATAAATGCTATGAAATGTGTGTGCAGAAAAGGCGGCAGCTTCTGTTCTTAAAGAATATTTCTGTAAAAAAAAGAATGGAAATATTGAAAACCAATTAAATTAGTAAAATACTCTCTTAAAGCATCTCTAAAAAAATACATAAAACACACTTCAGCATATGGCTCATCCTCGTCTTATTTGAGCTTCTCGAAAAAGGTTCAATGACTTTTCTGGGAATTTCTGCGTGCGGTAACTCAAAGTCCACACAATCCCCTAGGCCCCCATAAATGTGCTATGACTGAGAGAGATAATAGAGAGTTTTGTGTTACCAGTGTGCAGCTCCAGCTCCAGCTCCACGTAGCTACTTGAGTGGGCATTTCATTATATACTTTCAGTCTGGCCATCATTTGTGGCCCAAAACATTTTATTGAGTTTTCGCTGTAATTCGTGATATGTATATCGCATTACGTTCTTGTTATGCCGAGAATTGATTTCACATTTAATTAGATATTTATCACGCAGCACGGAGAGCACAAGCCAAACACAATTAGTGCCCCCGGGAGTGGGGCAACAATGGGATACAATCAGCGTCAAATGGAATGGAAATTAATTTTATAGCTAGAACAGATACTGATAAATATTCAGAGCATTTTTTCTTGTTTTTATTTGTGATAATTATCTGTTCGATTCGTGCTTTGAATCTATTCACGAATATTAATTAGTTGAGTGCAGCGGAAAATGCCAATAATAAAATTGCACTCATTTGCATATTTATGAGCATCCGTTCAATGCAACAAAAAAAAAAACATCCTTTTTGGCCTCCATTTTTGTTTGTTTTTTGTTTAAAAAGTTTACCTTTTTGTTGCCTACTTTTCGGGGGAAAAGTTTCCGCTCTTCCGCTGCCTTTTTCTATTATGATAATTGCTCTTGTCTGAGGAAACTTTTTACCCAAAAGAACAAAACTTCCTTGCAGATTTATGACTGCCTGGCAGTGAAGATGACAGTCGTATGATATGGATAGGACAAGAAAAAGCCAAGGTCTCGCCTCAGGGTGCATGCAAAATTGAGTCAAATTAAAGTTGATTAAGGTAATTTATTTAAAGCATATTACGGCACTTGGTACTGGGAATAATTGTGTTTGATGGCATTAAAAATCCGTGCTAAACTGCCGTTTGTTCCTGTAATAATAATAGCCATCTACGTACGAACGGAAGTGTAGCCGCCATCAACAGTCAACTAATTACATCCGTTTGGCCCGCACGCAGAAGGACCTGTGAGCAGTCGGTCGTCCTCCTTTTACCGCAGGAACCACGTCTAATGACAGTGGGGAATTTCAGTATTTTCCCCGTTCACAATTTTTGGCAGCAATAAACTTGGCATTGGGTTCAGCATGGTATTCTGCATGCTTTATGCAAATTTCTTTTGCCGATGGCAACAGCAACACAAAAAGGTCCGAAAAATTCCTATAAAATTGTGATCCAAAATTTTGTTGGCAGTGAAATGGAAATGGTTTTCTTTTCACCGAAATCCAGCAGCATGTCTTTGGCTCTGATTTGCCAAATGCGGGAAAGAATGAAAGAAATTCTATTTAAATTTCTTTTTATTTTGCAGAGAAATTTCAAAGGTATTGGCAGACTTTTTCTTGGCACATTTTAATGCGCATTGTTCAGCTTTTTATATTTAAACGCTTGGTGCCATTACTCTCTCAAATTATTCATTATATTTATTAATTATTTGTACATATGTGTGTGTGTTTGATATATGTAGATATATAAAATTTACCATCAATCAGTGGGGCAATTATTTGAATTATTATTGGCATTTGGCATAATTGAAGTGATTCAATTGAATAAATGCGGATATTCCCATTAAATTGGTTTTTTCAACAGGTTTTTGTATTTATAAATCAGCTAATGGCTTGCTGGATAATCGATATTTGTAGAGTCTTTAAATGGCAGATTAAAGACTACAAAATGGTTCATTTACGGGGTCTTACTGTTGTGATTGTGTAAGAGGATTGTTTAGGCATTAAATTTTACATCATTTAGATTATATCAATCCTTAAATTACCTTCCAATCATAAATAATTGAGACATCAAAACGCTTCGCTTATCGATTCAAATCGAATTAAAAAAGAATCATTCATTTAAGTTATAGCAAGCGAGCAATTACGGGGTACAACCAATTAAGGGGGGGGCGAGCATCAATTATGGGTCTGAAGCGTAGGCAATTTCCTGTCGAGTGGCAGCTCGAATAAATTGCCGGCAGTTGCGAGAAGTCAATTAAAGGGTTTTTCCACCCCCTCGGCTGGAGCACTCAAAAATGTAATTCGTTCCCATTAGCTCGGCTAATAGTTGTTGTTCTGCATGTGAGTGGCACCTGAAGGGTGGTTGTGGGTTCCCTTTGCTGTCGCTAAAACCACCTCATTTCGTGCTGTGCTGGCAAATTGTCCACAATTTCTCGGCGAATCTGCATTCCCACATCTGGCTTATTATTTTCCATTGCACTCCCACTCGCCCTGTCCTGCCACCCATTTTGTGCAGTAGCTCGACATTCAAAAGCCAGTGATGGGAGGGGAATATCCCCTCACTTTGAAGTTCATCACGCAGGTGGAAAAGTTGCCCCCCGACTGTGTTTATAGTTATCCGAGTAAGTCGCTAACTTCTGCTGCTGCTGCTGCCTTTGCTGCTGCTTTTGCCAAAGTTTAACATGCTTTGGTCACTGCCGGCGTCACGTACTTCAGGCTGCTTTTCCCGGGCTATAAACTTGTCGAACTCGTGCCCGTTGAGTTGCTGGCGAGACTTTCGTGGGTATTCAATGTAAATATAAATTGCTTTTTGCATCACAGGAACTTGTTTTCGATTTGTGGTAGCCATGGCAATAGCTTCATATCTTTGTGTGCTCCAAGAAACATTTATTTCGCAGTGTTTATCAAATTTCCATTGGAATAAACATTATTTTGGCCCTAATCGATCAACATTCTGACTCTTAATCTTTATACATTCTACTCAATCATCATTTAGTCTATTTTCCCCACTCTTACATCATTTTACACATTATTCCACTCATCATGCAACTACTAGACGCAATCATCATTCTCTCATTTGCAGCGCAGTCCCATGGCAAACATAAAATACAGACACAATACAGGACACTCACGCAAATGGAACTCATTTCCCATTTAAGGATTTATTAATACACAACACTTGTATCGTTCTCGCCTCTCCATCCACCTCTCTCGCCCTCGCACATACACCACTTGACCCAAGTATCCAGCCATTGGATGCAACTGAAATGCTGCACGTTGTTTGCGCTTCCATCGAGTGGCCATTAAATTTTCATACTGCCATTCGAATATCGGTTTCATTTGCATTCGTGTGTTCCTCTTGTTTCACCTCTTCATTTGCTGCTACGGCTCCTCTTTCGCAGCCTCACGCACCACGCACCACGCGCCACGCCCTTCCTACCTACCCCTGCCCTGCATTGAGCTCTCCTCTATTTTCCTTTCATTGAGTTATCTTCTACCTCTTGTCCATGGCAGCCGCCCCTGACGCATTGGGGACCTGTCTTCATGTTTGGCTGCGAAAAAGTTAATTGAAAAATTTGTCATATGCAAATTGCTAAAGTGAAACACACTCCTCCGACACTGCCACTGCCACTGCCCCTGCCACTTTGCCAAGGAAAATAAAAACTGGGCAGTGAGAGGACATTATAATAGACAAAATCCATTGCAAGCAAGCGCCTTGAGTGGGAGCCTCAACCGAGAGAGCTACAGCGATAAGGCAAACTGTTCCGAGTCATCCTTTTGGCTCTGCCGTCCAGCGCCTAAGCCAAACAATTTTATTCGATTTTCATCCGGAATGTAGGAGTTGAAAGACTTTGCCTAAGGGGCATCTGCATTCTTTCAGTCGATTAAGAGAAATAGTTGAAGCAGCTATGGATCCAGCTTTGCCTTAGAGTTGCCATGGAAATCTAAAGCAAAAAGATTGCAGAAGCGTACTTAGGTCTTCCATCTATTAATCTACAGCCGCTTGTACCCCCCTTAAGTGCATTCCCTAGTCGTTGTGCCCAGCCACTCTTATTTTTATGTGTGCCATCCATTCTGATTGGATTTGAGCCTTGCCATAAAAATGCCAAAGCCCCTCCCTCCACTCGCCCACGCCATCCTGATGGACGCAGCAACAGTAGCAAGTAGGAACAGTGGAAAGTAGAATGTGGCAGGCATTGGAAGGCCAGGCAGGATGAGGACTAATGTCCTGTGTCCTTTGTGCCGGCGTTATCATTGGCTGAATATCGGAATCAATAAGCGTATGAAATGCCATAAACATCAAATTCAGAAAGGGGCAAAGCCTCTCCTTTAAATTGACTTTGTTATGCCACTGACATTACGTATACGCACTGTCGAACATGAAAATCATTACGTATACGCCTAGTGAACACTGCTTTTAGGCCGCCTGGCCATGGAACCCCTCCCTGACAGCCACTCATTGCTGGACAGACACCGAGTGGAGTGCAGGAGCTGCTGCTGCTGCTGCTCTCAAGCTATTCTTTTCATACATAATCCATGAGGCGTGTCCAAGACGTTTGGCACTGATTGAACCGACTCCAAGTCATGGGGCATGGGGCACGGGGCACAGGACACACAAAGAGCTCAACCGAGAGACAAACGCTCAGGCACTTCACCTGCTGCCCGCCCAACTGCCTGAATAAACAAATGTCCTTTTACTATAACTCCTCCCAGCCCCCGCCCCCGCCACTGCCTTGCTCCCTTTCTCTCTTCTGCCCGCACACATCAAATCCTCGAGGCTTTTCGAACAACAATTTCCATTGATATTTTCTGTTTCTGTCAAAGTTCTTTTCGGGCGTAGGGCTTTGCATTTGTCTGAATTTAATTATTTGTGTGGCTCTCTCGCTGGGCTTTCTTCTTTCTTTTTTGTTGTTTGTTGTTGCTTTGTCACCTTTTCGAGAGGATGTGAGCCAGCTTAGAGGGTCGGGGAATAAAACAATTAGTGGAGTTTTGGGTGTGCCAAAAGCCCCAACAGCTTACTGCGGCCCTTTGCTATTTCTGCTATTTCAATGATGGATGGATGGATGGATGGATGGATGGAGGAGGCTGTAAGGATGCAGGGGAACTCAGTGGCAGTAAAATAAGAGGCTTTAAGGATGTTCTTTTGTGACCGTATGTCAAGCGGGAAAGTTTTGTCAATTAAATTCAGGGGAACCGGAGACGATAGATTTAGTTACAAAATTGTTGAATATTTTCCAATGGAAACGGTACTGAAAAACGGCTTTACGAAGAATGCGAAAGCCAAAGGACTCTACGCTTCTAATTGGCATTCTAACTAGATATATCTTCAAGGAAATCAAAGGTGAAAAAGGGTGGCAAAATCACAAGTGAACCACAGGAAGAGATGATGTAAGTGAAGGGAAGGATTGCTAATTGCAATCCTGTTCGAATCAAAACCAAAACCAGTTGCCTGTTGTCTGTTGCAGCCAAATGAAGGAAACATTTGAATTGTCAGAGTTTCAGAAAAGTTGCCAAAACTCATTTTCGGACAGGCAACAATGGATGCTCGTGTCCGTGTGTGCAGTGCCAAGTTTCAGTTCACGTTCTGCTAATTGCAATCATCTCTCTTGTCGAGTGCATTCTCTACGCCCGCCCTTCAGCGGGAGAGGAAAAACAGCATTTCATTTCCGCTTGATTGGGAAAACAATTCAATTTACAATTGCTGCATCCTGACAGCACAGCCTGCAATGCCAGCTCTTTAAGTTCACGTTGCAGATGATTCTCGTTAGCGGGGAATTATTTATGGCCTGGAAGCGGCTTAAGTTCTTGGTCAGCCCAAAAATAATTACACCGATTAAAGGATATTTCCATGGCATGTCCAACCCAAACCAAAGATTCAATAGGTACTTCATTTCCAGCTACCATCGGACATCTCCCATTTGTAAGAGCGCTGCGCTGCTGTTCGATTCGGAAGGCGGCATTCAGGACATAATTTACGGCTCAGCAATTCACATTTCAATGTGGTTTTGACCCCGCCCCCAAGCCCATTGAAAAGCCACATTAATGAGTGGCAAATGTGGGATTATTTAAGGTTCGACTGGCAGTAGTAGACCCAAGTGGAAAACGTCAATTAAAATGCAATTTCGATTGCTTCAAGTGAAGGCATAAGTATCTTTGGCAGGGGCTCAAGTACTCTGATGTGTCTTGGTAATAAGATTACGATAGAAATGAATTGAAATGGAAGCTTAGTAAATTCTATTTATAAAGGGTTGCGCTTCCTCGTAAAATCAAATAAACAAACCCATTAACCTGAGCCCAGAACACACTATAATCTATAGCTATTTGCTTTGGCTTCAGCTGCTTCTCGGGTTGTTTCTAAGGCCTGATAAGCTGATAGAACACGTCTCATCCCGTTGGTAACTGTAACTTAACCCCAGCAAGGCGCCATAATGAGCAGCAGCAGCAGCAGAGCCGAACACTGCCACAGACAGTGGCCAAGTGGCTGTCTGTCTGTCTGCCTGTCTGTAGTCTGTCTGTCTGGCCGAGGGAAAACTTTATTCAATTTGTGGCGCTTGCCTCCAATTATCAGCAGTGACTCTCGCCAACCCCCCCGCCTACGCCGATTTAACTCTTTCGTTTCGTTTCGTTTGCATAACTTTGTTCCGCGGCTCGTTATCCGTTGGGGGAATACCAAGAAATATTTTAATGAAAAGACTGCGGACTTGCCACTCACTTTGCCTCGTCGATGCTCTCGAGATTGTCCCGGTTCTCGATGAATCCCGCCAGCAGGCTGACCACCTCCGTGCGATTGTAGCTATTCAGTTGCGTTGCATTGACGATGCTGTTCAGCTCGAAGCGTCGCACCGCCAAAATGGTGCAGTTCACCAGCAGCTCCGTGTCCACAATTTCCGACATCTTGGGAATTGGGGATGGACCTGGACCTTAACCGTAACCGTGACTGTCTGTTGCGTAATGCGGTTGCTTATTCCACACTTAATGCCAGAGAAATCGTCTTGTGGCCTGAAGACATGGCACATGCACCTTAATTACTCCGCCAGTGTCGCCACAAAATGTACTCTGTCTGCTTGCGTTTATTTTCTTACTCTTTGGCGCTGGGATCCTCTTTTGTGGGTAGGTCTTTCAATGGATGCTTAACTGTTGCCAGTTGCACGCGGCTGTGCTTGGCCACCACCTCATCAGTGGGCGACTTTGGGGACGCTTAATTTGAGGGGCGTTGCACGTTGCACGGCATGTTGCAGTGCGGCGACGCCATGGCGTCAGGGGAAATGATATTCAATTATGATATTACGTATACGCACTGCACACATTGCATTTTAAGTGTGCTATTCAATTTGTAATATTTCAATTTTATACGCAATAAATGTTTAAGTTTAATCAATTTTTTAAATTAATTCCATTTCTTGTTAAAAACAAAACACCTTTAAAATTTCCAGTAATTTCTTGATTATTTAACATTTAAGTAGATTAAATTTGTGTACTTGTTTCAGCTTTAGTTAATTCGTAATTAAACACTCATCACATTCAATCTGTTAATTAATTATTTATTAAGTAATTTTTATTGTATTTATTTGTTTTCCTTTTGCTTTGGAAATCAGTTGAATTCATATGCCATTATAATGATTCGATAATGCCGCTCGATTTAATCCATCTTTCTATCACTTAAACTCAATTAAAATTATTTTTATTTCTTTTTTATTATTAATCTGTATTAAATATCTTTGTATGCTAAAGAGTGTTTGACACTTTCAACGCTTTTTGTTGTATTCCTTTTTGTAGATTAAAATCTGTTGTTGGCATTTGATATTTTCACCCTCATTTTTTTAGCAATTTATTTTAAATGCATTTTGAATCTTTTGTTGATTTACTGCACTTTTTATGCACCACTTTGCCAATTTGCTGGCCTTTTTTTTATGGCCCCCCTCCCAGCCGCTCTTTTTGCGCGCTCACACAGACACGAAGGCAGCACGCACACACCGCCGCACGGACCGTTAGAGCTTCGCACGTTAGCTTTTTGGCTTTAAAATGGCGTCGCTTGTTTACAGTTTTACAGTTTTTATTTTGGTTTTTGTGCGCGCGTTCGTAAGGGCTGCAAGTGCCGCCGCCGACTGAGCGCTGTGCATGGATGGCAGGATGGCGGGCCATACAATGTCTGCCATATCTGTGCCACACTGCCACGGCTGGTGGCATGGCCAACAGCAAGCAGAGTCAACAGCACGCACTTAAAGGCGCGCAACATGCAACCTGTTGGACGGCAACATTACTCCTCTGGCAACATGTTGCAGCAGGTTTTATGGCAACTAACTGCGAATGTGTGTGTGCTCGCTCGCTAGTTGGCAATACCTTCAGGAACTTTTTAAATGGCCCATTCATGGAGTAACAAAAAGATATCCGATAACCGACATCCGAATGGTAACCATTATTTTTAGTGTATTTGCAGCACAAGGATTCCCAAGCAGCAAACACAGCTCTAGAGGCAATGTCCTGGCTATCCCAGCCGCTGATACTTAACATTCCTAGCTGCTCTTTTAGCTCCAGATCTATTGGCTGGCCTCTGCTTCTGCCGCAGCTATAAATAAATCATGGAACTGCACATCAAGGGGGTTCGCCTAACTCGATTATCTTGTACTCTGCTGTAACTTCTTTCACTTCTTTTACTTGTTACGCTTTCGCAGCTTTTCTGTTGCTGCCAAATAAATTTCAAGCGCTTTGGTGCTATGATGAATGACCTGTAAATGAGTGCCAGAGGACACGACACACGAACAATGGCCACTTCAAGGTCTGTGAATGTTAAGGGTATTGGATGGTATATGGGCGCTTGTGTGTGCTGTAAGTATAAGGGTATCGAGGGGTCCATATAGCCATTAACCCATATAGCTTATAAGGGATAGATAAGGCTAGCATGAAGGGTGATATTTTGGTATGTTAATGGCAATTCAAAATCGATGATTAATGATTAATGTGTGGCCTGTTATGTGTTCTTCCTTCCCATTAAATCATTGGCGACACTCATGCACCCAGAAATGTATATGTATGCGAATACAGGGTATCCCATCGCTTACAGCCCCATTGGGCTGTTGTTTGCAGTGGGTTTTTGTGTTTGCTAATGTCTGCAAATGTTGTCTCTCTCCATGCCCCCTCTATAACCCCATGCATCGCTGCTTGCCTCCAGCCTCCAGCGTGATATGTGCGTGAATATTTGCACTTTTTTGTGATTATGACTGGACGTTTGGTGGGTGGCTTGGTGGGTGGTTTGGTGGGTGGCTTGGTTCTGCCCGAGGTTCTTCTGAGAGCATTAGATACACATGTAACTAGGATTCCCATCCTCACACACACACACACACGCACACACGTGTTATATGCATTGCCATGTTTAGGTTTTTTTTACGATTCAGTTTCGTTTAGTTTATGACCCTCTAGCCCCGCCCCCTTTCAGCGTACGAGCCACCCATTACGCCCCAAACATATTTCGGCACATTTGTTGGGTGCTGGGGGTTGGGGGATTTCCGTGGTTCTTATACGGCGTATTCACGGCGATTTATGCATGTTTATTATGATAAATTTATTCGTGGCGGGGCGGTTTCTATAGAGTGCGCCACCAAAATAGAAAGACCTAAAAATCCAGCGGGATTTTGTCCCCAAAAAATGTTAGGCAAACATTTATGCATTAAGCAGACTTTTAGGCAAATTTATTTGGGAGTGGGAGTGGCATCAGCCGCCTTAAAGTATACTACCAGCGGGGAAACCAATAAAAAGAGAGAGCACCCAGCAGACAGGAAACGGGAGAAAGTAGTGGGTGGGAGAGCCTGGCCCAAGGGCCACATGTGTCAATTATCGCTTGACTTTGTTTTGACAGCATGAGAAATGGGTTACCTAGGCAGAGGATAGCTAGATATCTAGGCAGAGTTTTGTTGCCAAAAAGCAAAAGCAGCAGACGGAAGGAGGAGTATCTGAAGGCAGGAAACGCGAGTTGTATTAATTGTTGGGCCACACAGCGGGAATAATATTAATTGTGGTAGGGAAATGTAAATGCATTAGAGCGGGGTAACATATATCAGGAATTATTCGTATTCAAAAGGAACTCTTTGTTCATTCAAACAAGGGTAGGCCGTATATACTCGTACATATTTGTTTGTTTGTTTGTTTTTCATTGTGCAAATTAATTGATGACCGCAAAAGAATAATTAACCAGATACACAGATACACACACACACATATAGAGAGTTTTTTTTTCTGTACAACCAACAGCTAAAATTAATCAAAGCTACTTTCAGTTGCTGTCTGCGTGTGATTAGAAGTGTAATTAAGTTGAATTAACCGCATGGCTAGACCAAGAGTCGAGTGCGTTGATTAATACATATTTCGCATGCCCCCTGCAACGAACGCTGACCTTTAATTAGAGGCAAGTTGGGGAGAGAGTTGTTCGTTTATTAACAGCACACAAGTTATGGCCAACATGGAAGTTTGGCGCTTGTAGGCCTCAGGCCAGTGGTTGCAGCACATCGACCCGCAGGAATATCGAAAATATAAAGGCAACTGTTGGAGAAATTAAATAGAGAAATTAAATAGAGAGAAATTAAACATAGAGAAATTAAACATAGAGAAATTAAACATAGAGGAAATGAGAGGCAGAGAATAGACTTTGACTCACTGCTCATCAATGCAACCAGCCACAGGAATGGGGCATGGCAGCTGATTTGCATGAAGACCGGCAGCAATATATTGCCAGCCACCGAGCCGAGTCGCCCAAAGGTCATAATCAGCATTAGCACCATTGTTCTGTGTGGGAGTGGGTGGGGAAAATCATTTAGCGATAGAGATAAAGCCATTTGGCCGTGGGCTGTGGCTGTACGCACCTCATTAGTGTGGGAAACATCACCACAGACATGCCAATAATTGTTGTGGCACAAACGCCCATCATCGTGAGATATATCGAGGCAATGATCATTGTAACCAGCGCAGATTCGGCAAAGTAGAGGCCACCCGCCAGGAAAACGCAAAGGAAAAGGAATACTTCTGCAACGAAAAGGCTCAGAGGTTGTAGGGATTTTCCCCTAGAGAGTGAGAGAGAGACGCCCTTGTGGGACTCACTTAATATGTGATTCGCCACCAGGGATATGCGCATCAGTGGAAAGATGATCACAAAGCCAACGATGCCAACTGAAGCCACTATGATGTTATCCGTGTAGATGCCCGGATCCTGGTGCTATTCGTTTGCGGGGGATTAGATTAGATTTAAAGCCTGGCAGCCTGGTGGCGAAGCGATCTCCTACCTACTAGGTCGCACTCCCGCCTCATCGATTCCGAGTCCATGCTGCGCACCTGGGAGTTGTGGTCGAGCACGTTGCACATGCTCGTGTCGTTGATGCCCTGCATCTCGAACGTGTGCATTGTGGCAAAGATCTGTGGCAGCCACAGGCGCACCGAATTCACGCACATTATTTGGCAAAAGTGCAGGCAGTAGACCTGCAGCGAAATGCACAGATAGGGCTTGGAGAACATCGGCTTGAGTTGGCCCACGCCCTCCAGGAACTTGAGTTTCGCCCTGGTGAAGCGTTCCCAGCGAGAGGTGGGCTGTCGCGGCAGATTGAAGACATCCGAGCGATCGGGCGTGGCATCGGTCAGACGTTTCACCTGTGGAGACATTGGCTTAAGATGGCTTTCCCAGCTGAATCTTCGGGGATACCTACGGGGTACGTGTCGCGCGTCTTGTGCTTGTTTACCGCGTATATCCGTTGCAGGGACTCCAGCGCCTTGTTGTACTGCCCCTGAGCCATCAGAAACTTGGGACTTTCGGGCAGAAAGATGTGCAGAAAGCCGCTCATCAAGCTGGGCAGCGCAGTGACTATCAGAAAGATCTGCCAGGTGTGAACTGCAAAAGAAAAAATGCGAGAACGCAGCGGGAGAGAGAACTTTAGCACCTACAATTCATTTGGCCCACTGAGAAGAAGAGATGCACGGGCAGCAGGAGGTAGGCGAGTATCGGCACAAAGGTGGCCCCAGCGGACACGCACAGACCCACAAAGAGCATGATATAGGGACGATGCTTTTTGCCATGGAATTCCGCCAAATAGCTGACCACCACCGCAAACGGGCCGCAAATGCTGTGCGAAAGAGACGAGAGAACTCATTAGCCGGGCAATCGATTAATAATTTGGTGTATCGGTGACATTAGGCCATCCAGGAACTTGAACACCATCAGTTGTGTGGAGTCCTGGCAGAGGGCGGCGCACAGCACGAATATTCCATCGATCCAGCCGCCCCAAATGAGAACCACGCGGCGACCCATGGTGTCGGCTAGGAAGCCCCAGGGTATGGCCGAGAGGATCATGCCGCCATAGGTCACTGCATTGAGCAGCCCCTTGTCGAAGGGCGTCAACTGTAGATCACACTCGGCCGTGGGCATAACATAGCTCATCGAGGAGGCAGAGAACACCATGGCCGACAGGCAGGGCACGGCACAGCACATCATCAGGATATTGAAGAGCCCAAAGCCGCATTCCGCAATGGCCGTCTCAAAGTCTGCTGCATCGTCAACGTTCCTTTTGGAATCAGCCATCCAAAACAGCAAAGGGAATATCCAAAAGTATCCAACAATGTCCAACAATATCCAAAAATATCCAACAATATCTGAGTAAATGTGAGATGTATGTGTGTAAATTTAGACAAATAATGGAAGGGGTTTGTGGATTCATCAGAGTTATGTGAGAGAAATTACGAATCACTCGAGTTCCAACTGGAAAGTTCATCATCCTCTGCAGCAGTCAATGGAGCGGGCAATCTAATAAACAAATGCCACTTGGGGACTGGCGTCGGATTAGTTAGTTCAGGCATCACTGATTTCCATTTCCACTTAATGCCACACACACCTGACAGCCCACCCCGTGCCACACTGCCGCCAAAACCACACTGCTGCTGCCTTTCTGCTGCCAGTTAATTGGAGCTAATGAGATTTGCATGTCGCAGCAAGGAATTATCCATGCCCAACCAGCAGCACAAGCTATGGCCCAAAAAGTTCACTGCACAGATCAATTGTAGAACAGCAAAGATGGCTATGAATATGTTGGTTATTGTTGGTAAATAAATATATATTTAAATGGGCTTTCCTATGCTAAATATAAATAGTTACAGACATTATCTTTAGCCCCCCAATAAATTGCTAATTTGTACAACTAAATTGTCCCAATAATTGGCTTATAATTAGACCTACAATGCAGCAGAAGCTTCTTCCGCTCAGTTAGTGGGGAACTTTCACCGAAAGGTGAACTAAAATGTCTTAAGAAAATGTAGCCTTTGCTGGATTGGGCACAAATATGGAGAGTGTGCCAGCCACTGAAAGAATAAACAAGAAAAAACGAATTAAAGAACAAAACTATGAGTGGGAAATGTGAGAGAAAACTTACACAGCAGCACCGATGATACCATTATAAATGGGGGCAAACAACCGATTTGAACGAAGACAGGAAAGAGCAGATTGCCCGACAGGGCACCAAAGCGTCCACACATCATGGCAATGGCCACGACAACAGTTCTGGAAAGATAAGAGATTAGTAGAGCAGGGTAGGGTAGGGTGTAGGGTAGGGTAGGGTATCTATCACTCACCTCAGTTGTGTCGGAAATAGAGCCACAACAGCGCCCAGCAGAGAGGAGACTGCAATGCCCGTGATGGTCAGAAATGTGGCAGAGACTATCAGAGTCATCAGGCTGCTGACCGAGAAGTAAAGCACCAGGCCAAAGATGCCCGACAGATACAGACCGTAGGCTGCAGGAAAGAATATTATTTGCAATTAGTATAAAGAATAAATAAATGGGTTGGACTGCTTACTCATCAAACGCTTGGGTCCCAGTGCCTTGATAATGCCACCCGCAAAGAAGTAGCCCACAAAGCCGCAGGCCGAGACAATGATGTTATTTATGTACATATCCATGGAAATCTCCTTTGGCTGCAAGACAAAACACATAACACAGATCAGATCAGAGACGAGAGACGAGAGACGAGGGACGAGAGAAAGGTTTACGTCACCAGAACGATGATTGGACACAAAGTTAACTGACAGATAAGCCGTATCTAACACAGAGCTGTAGATAGAAGATAGTTAGAGATAGAAGCTAGATCTTACCTCGGCACAAGCATTGGCATAATCTAAGGCGGTCTCAGCTGTTTTATTGACGCTAAACTCGAGTACGGTGCACAGGCTGGCAGTGGCACCGTCGAACTCCGCCTCGTACTGCGCCATGGAGGCAAACAGCTGTGGCAGCCACAGGCGTATGGTGTTCATGCCCAGGAAAATGCCAAACTGCATGATGTACAGCAGCAGGGAGAGGCGCAGCAGGGGCTTGTGTGCCAGCGGCTTCATTTGGGCGAAACCCGAGCGCAGGCTCTCCATCAGAGTGCGCGACTGCGGCTTCTGCGCCACTTTCTCGCCAGTTTTCTCCTCAATGGTGTAGATGACCTCGTCCTGGTTGGCCTTGCGATTCGGCACCTCCTGCACGAGCAGTTTGATCTGAAAGAGGATGCTTAAGACAGCCGCAGATAGACGCACTTTCACGGCTACTCACTGGATAGGTATCCTTGGGCTTGCGCGTATTCACATGATAGATCTGCTGGAAGGCCTGCAGCGCCTCCTCCGTGCGTCCCTGGGCCATGAGGAAGCGAGGACTCTCGGGCATGGCACAAAATATCAAACCGCTGACAAGACTTGGAATACCCAAGACAAACAAATAGATTTGCCAGCTGTGAACTATATTCAATTATAGTTGGTAGTGCTTAAGGTTACTCCGACGGTGAAACTTACTCGTTAGACCCACAATCTCAAAGTCCCAGTCCCTGGGAAAGATGCCCCAGGCGAGGAGAGGCAGCGAAACCGTTGCCGTTGATGTCACCATGCCCACAATCATGAGCACCGAGGATCTGTGCTTGGCGCCATGCATCTCCGTCAGGTAGGTAAACAGCACAGCTGCAGGACCATTAACACTGCAAAGAGAGAGCATTAAACCATCAGGAAGATCTTTTTTTTTTGGATCATAAAACCTACACCAATCCACCGAGAAACTTGAACACGACCAGCATTGTAAAGTTCTGGCTGAGGCCGCTGCCAAAGACACAAACGGCATCTATCAGGTAGCCCCAGTAGAGGATCTTCTTGCGGCCCTTGGTGTCGGCCAGATAGCCCCAGGCAATGGCCGATATGGTCATTCCTGCATAGGCCACCGCATTCAGGACACCCTTATCCTCGAGCGTCAAACGCAGATCGCACTCGGCCACCGGCAGGATAAAGGACATGGAGCTGGACTCGAAAATGGCAGCACTCTGGGCGGGTATCGAAACGCAGAGCAGCAGAAGATTGAAGATCCCAAAGCCAGCCGCATCGATGGCCTTGTCAAAGTCCGCTGGTGCATCCTCTTTGGGCGTGGCAGCTGTCTCCGCCTCAGCCGTGCTGTTTGAATTGGCATCCGTATCCTTATCGTTGTCATTGTCATTGTCTGGTTCTGTAACCCAAAAGATTTATGTACTTGTTAGAAGAGCTGCACTTGTGTCATTCGTTTTATGGTTGCTTATCCCTTATTTCCCTTATTTAAGATTAGAAAAGAACTTTGATAACACGAGAGAAGAGAGCTATGCGCAGAAGAAAGTATTTCCGAGTGGTAACCTACACAATCCGAGCATTTTATTATGTAGTTTTTATGGCAATAAAAGGTATGAGACTGTTACAATCCTTGAACGGAAAGGGATTACTTTTCCAGCTTTTTACACAAATATTCTTAAATATTTTCACTTTTAAGATTCACTGATTAATTCACACTTGTACCCAATGTTTTTGATGGATATTTTCTGCTTGTTTTATTAGATTAAAGGATTTACCTTTACTTTTCACAGGATCTACACTTTCTATGTTCTTTTGCGACATCTTCAATGCTTCAATGATCTGACTATCAATCACTGTATGAATATCTTATTGAGCTGCACTTGAATGTTCTCAATTGCTCAATTAATTCGATGTCGTTCTTAATTGAAAAGCTTTATCACAAATTCCGCCAAGATGCCCAGTTCACGGCTCCGACAATTGCTGCGTTCACTTGCAATGCTGCGCGGTAAATGATCTGCTTGGGTGGAATGGTAGCTGCTTTTATCGGGATTTGTCTCAATAGAAACCTTACGATTCAGCGCATCTACACATCTCTTATCGCCCTGAATTACAGGCTAAGGCGGGTAATAAACATATAAAACGTTGTTCATACATCCATCATCTGTAGACGGAATGAACGGAACACGTTGTCATAGAGGGAGAGACACAGGTACAGTGCGTTTGAAAACTGTAGTCACTCGAAATCTAACCATTCATCATGAAGAAGCTGTTGAGCCACAGTTTCCGGCTGATATATTATAATGCAACGCGCTGTACTGATGATAAGAGCATGAGGTAGGTAGTTAGCATTTCCATTGAATCAAACACTTTTCCAGGTCTCCCTCTCAGCCTCTCTCTCTCCTCCATAGACATTTTGCAGATCCATGATTATCCCTTTCCAAAAACAATGTCACGTTCCATTAGCTACGTCATTTCAATGGTGAAATCTGCCTGAACACCTCTTATCTGCCCAGATACGGCGCCACACGACAGTGGAGTGATATTATCTCTTATAAAATGTATCACCAGAATGACTAAACACTTTTAATCGATGTGAATGAAAGAATCTGAGCGGAATTACTCACACAGGTAGATTTGGCATCACAAAAAAAAAACTACTTTATTCTTAGAGTGCTATAAGGGGGCTATAAATATGGGTGCCTATAATTTCATGCCATTTCACTATGACCAGTCTTCTGCATTCTCATTCAATGCCATCCACCAGCTTGCACATCATGCGATCGTGCTGATAGCTCGGATCGTTCTTGGCCGCCGCATTCGATTCCAGGGGATCCACTTCCGACTTGACTTTGGCATTGCCCTTCTCATCGTCGTCGCACAGGACGGGCAGGGTGGAGAACGCGCTGTTCACAATGTCCCGCACACGCTCCAGGTGCTTCTGAAAACGGGTGGCGGTCTCCACACGCTGCCGCTTCTGCATTTCCATCATGACGCGCAGCGTTTCACGGGCCTGATGCGGCCGAAACTCGTTCAACAGGTGATGCATATTGACAAACAGCAGGCTGAGATCATCTATCTGAAAGGCAGCTATCAAGATTAGTCCATGGATCTGACCAGCCATCCAACTCACCTTCTCTGTGCGCCGCGGACTGTCCGGATTGAGGATGAGAAAGTCTATCAGATCCAGAAAATTGACCAGCAGCGAGTGGTTCAGTTTCTTCAGCTCCTTGCGACGGTCAAAGTGGATGGGGATGAGGCGCTTGATGTTCTGCGACTCCAGGGAGCGTATCATCTCGTCGTTGTTGTACGGAATGCCAAACATGCTGTAAACTTCATGCTGCGAGGGGGGCGGCGGTGGCCGTGGGGCGCGATTTCGGCGTATGTTCTCCTCCGTGTAGTTGCTGATGTACCGCTCGGGCGGCATCGGCAGACTGGATACCTGGGTCTCTTGTGTCGACATTCTGAGCGCTAGGAAGAGAGTATTTCCTATTCAAATGTTTGAAATTTCCGAAAAAGCAATATTTCGATCTTTTTTGTTTTGAGTTGCGTTTTGCAGTGTGACCGTTTTTTGCAACCACATTAATCCTTTGTACTTGCGGGTGTGTACACACTGAAATCGCATCTTAGAAAATACTAGAAAATACTTAAAAAGCAACCCTAATTTTTACTCTCACGTTGCGCGTCTTCTCTCATTCGTCGTTCTCTCTTTGGAGCAAAAGCAAAACAAAATAGAAAATTAGATACATATATCTGACGAATGGGACAATATTGCTTTAAATTCGCGCCATTTCGTAAAATAAGAATAAGAACAACTATGGGAACAGAAGAAAGTGAAAATAAGTAAATCGTGCAATAGCTGTCGCTTCTGTGTTACGCCCATGCAAAGCGAAGCGTGCTGCCACCATTTTGTAATCCATCCTCCTCGTGTCTCAGTGTCCGTATATGTATGCGTTTGTGTATAATCGTAGCAACGGAACCTGTCGCAGAATGTTTGGGCATAGTGAAAATCGCGTAAAAGACAAATTGCCAGGTAGTTTTGTGGCATAAGCAATGGACGGGGACCCGTTTGAGGAATCCGGTAAGTTTCACGAGCCCATCGGTCTATGGTTTTGCGCTGACGCCACATTCCGCGCCGCCGGCTAAAGTCAAACAAACCGATCGACACACACACAGCGATTAAGTCAGCGCTATTTCCATACCATACCTTTGTATCAATGGCCTGAATGCTGAATGAAATTATATTTGTATAGATCCCGCTTCCACCGCAAGGCAGAGAGAGCAGGTCTTGATGGTGGCTGAGCAACGACCTGCAACAAATGTCGCCAAATGCATCTTCGCATACGAGGAGCAGCCGGAGCTATCCAGGCTGGTGGTTCTCCTGGAGGAGGTCAGCAAGAACTCGGACTACTCCACGGACCTACGTCTGTCCACGGACTATGTAAGCATAATATATAGTCCTATAGGAATCTTTTCATATAACATTCCCCATGCCCATTCCCCTAGTATGGCAATCATCTGCTGCGGCATTGCCTAAAGGACAAGGATGTGCCGCGTCGTGTGGCCCTCGGCTCTGGCGGCAGTGCCATCCAGTCGTTTGGCAAGATCTATGCGGATCGCGTGGAATACATCAGCCAAACGACGGATAACATAAACGAGTCAATGTCATCCGCGCAGCGAGAAACCAGTGAGCAGACGACCAGTGGGTGAGTACCGCGTGCTTTTCGTGGAGCAAAGAGACAGAGAGAGAAGTAGATGCTGCCGGTCGGTGCCATGTGCTCAAACGAACGCCGCCACTGCCATGGTGCGTGCGTCTCTCTGAAGGCGTTGTTTCGTTATCACACGCGAAATATGTACATATGTACCTCTTATCGGAGTTTCTCGTGCGCCCCTTTCTTTCGATTTGTTTACTTGATCTACAAGCCGGTTCGGGTTCGGATTTTTCGTTGAAAATCAACAAATGAATGATCTGTTTAGTCTAAGGCAACATGAGAGGGGTGTGCCGGTACTCCCTTCTACCTCTCTCAATTATCCTATTAACAATGCTATGCTAATCATCCTAATAAACTCTTTCTCTCAACAGACAGGAGAGCACCGCCCCCAAGCCGGAGGAGCCACGAAAGCGCCGAGTTAAAAAACTCACGCAAAAGACAGTGGATCCGTTTATGGTGAATCTCGAGCCGCGTGCCTTCAAGACAATGTCGGAGGAGAAGCGTTTTGGTACGACGGGCATGGCAAAGTGCAGCAGAAACAGAACCATCGAGTATCTGTACCAAGACCACACGCCGCCCAATCTGTGGAGAAATGCCCCGATCGTGGATCCCCACCAGGCCTCTGAGATCGACGAAAAGAAACAATACAAACTTTTTACGTACCACGTGGAACACAGATACAACACGCTCCTGCCGGACATCCCATTCGAAAGGCTCAATCTGATTAAGGAGTACGTAAATTCGAACAATGTCAGTCAGGATATACTCAACGTTCACATGACCACAGACGAGTACCTAAATGAATACATTGCCTTGGAGAACAAAATGCTGGCCTCGCGCTATGGGGCCACAGTGAGGGCGAGAAGAGCGGAAGGCGCCAGTGGCAGCATGATGGCATCTAGACTTGGGAGCATAGCTTCGGAGGCAACATTGAAAAGGACGCTTGAGGCGGAGGATAACGATGCCAGTTCCACCAAAAAGCCGCGAACAGAAGATGAAACAATGGCGGCAGTGGACTTGGCAGTGGAGACACAAGAGTCGGGAATCGAAGCGTCGGAACCAATGGAAGTGGATGAATCGCTGAATGTGGTGGATCAATCGCTGAACCCGAAGGAAGAGTTGGACTCGGGTCTGGGAATGACGCTGGATACGACGACACTGGACAGCAGCCAACTGGAGAATGCCACTTTGAGTGCAAGCCAAGTGGAGGGACCTGCTTTAAGCAGCACCCTACTGGCACCGCTGAACGAGTCCAGCGCCCTGGACACTACTCCGGACACGGAACTGAATGAGCTGAAAATCGCTTCCGAAAAGCCAAGAGGTAAACTAATGGCCAACCCAATAATCTAAGCGTTCTATGGATAAGTTTTTTTGAACCCACCTTTTTTTTTTGTAGAAGTTGTTACTCACATTTTGGTTTCCTTTTCTGTATCTTTGTTGTGGACATTGTCCGCGAATTTGCACACTTGATTTGCAAATTGTTTTGGCAGGCCTGTCTTCTGACGACGAAGGTGTTGTACTTTCAGATAGCGAGGAGCGTCGCCTGCAGTCCCTGTCGCCCAAGGTGATGGTCAGGGACATTCTGCCGGGAGTACCCAACAAGGATACCGTCACTGTGCTCGTGGACGAGGAGATGCGGGCTCTGGGTGGAATACAAGAAGACGAACCAGCAGCAGAGCATCAGCCTATTTTCGAAGAAGTGGTCCAGATTCCCATAGAAGTCTGCTATCCGCTTGAGTTGAACATCTTTGGGTTGCCCGAAAGACGTTTGAGACGGCGGAACATTTTCAAGCTTCCAGCTGAGTTTGATATATTCAAGAAATCTGTAAGTAGCACAGATCCCCCACCCATTTCAATTGTTATAACTTGGATTCTCTTTTTTCGAACATTTTAGCGGATTCCCACCAAGCGAGAGGCAGAACCAAAGCCTCCAAGAGCTGTCCGCAAAGTGATACCCGAGGAACCTGCCCTCACCGAAGATATCGGAGAATCTGGCCTAGACAGAGAACGGGATAATGCATTGAGGCTAAGCTTGGAGTTTGACTTGGATAACAGTATGTGCCTCACCCACACAATTGTTTGGTTAAAAAAATAATTAAACCCGCTTCTAAATAGATTTCCTTGGCTTTCGGCGACCCACCCATGACTCTGGCGTCGACGACATGAGATTCTACGATTCGCGGCCATTATCGGTTGAAACACTTTTGCCAACTATTGGGGAATCGAGTGAACCGACCAACGCTGCCGAAAGTCCTGCAGATGCTACAACACTTGACAAATCAACAAACACTGGTTTGGATGCCAAACAACTTGACGCAGCGGCAAATGAATCCACCACCGTGAACGACAGTGGCTTAGATGCTACCCAACTAGACGCAGCAGCGTCGTTGCCTGCAAATGATCAAAGCAACAGGGACGACAGTGGCTTAGATGCCACCCAACTAGACGCAGCAACTGATCAAAGCAACACAGATGTCAGTGCTTTAGATGCAACACAACCTAACACAGAAGCATCGTTGCCTGCAAATGATCAAACCATTGGGGACGACAGTGGCTTAGAGGCCACACAACTTGACTCAATTTTAAGTAATTTAACAATGAATGAAGCACCAGCAAACACAAGCAGACCTGTCAGTGCAATGCAACTGGACGACTGGATGGAAGACACGAATAGTACGCATGATAGTAGTGACCTGGGAGTCGATAATCCCTTCCGAATTGACAAAGGAGGCTTCACAGACTCCAGCGAACTGGTAGGAAACTCTTGAGCGTACACTTTCGATCCCATAAACTAACCAATTTAATTGCAGGTCAGGGACTGGCACATACGAATAGCGCCCATGCTGGAAGTAGCACACGAGAGGCAGAATTTCAAATTTGAAGATTTGGGCACTGAGATAATCGAAACGTGTCAGCAGGGTAAGGGCAGAGCTACATTGGCCGATGTGATGCAGGGCAAAGATAATACCACCCTGGGTCGGCATTTTTTTGCCTCATTGAAATTGGTAAGTTACTGGAAGATTTAAGATAATGCTGCCATCGATATTAATGGCTTCCCTTTCACTTTTCACTCGCAGCTCAATGATGGGAATATCGTGCTGAATGATGTAAATCGTGATAAAAGAAAGCCCATGGACATTTCACAGTACAAAATGGAACTAAGAAGTACGGAGCGCAAGCAAGTCCATCCAGAGGATGATATTGGCAATAGGAGTGTGGTGAAGCCAAAGCCGTTGCCAGCGGATAAGAAACGACAGAAACGAAAGTCAACGGAAGGGGCAGCGGCAGCAGAAGTGCATGTGAAAATGGTGCGGTTAATAAAAGCCATACCGAAAGTATCCCAGTCGCCAGATGATGGCGACTCTGGTATATCGTCGTTGGCTTCCTCCGTAACGATGTCGCCAGAGAAGGATCAGTAGAATTTTAACTGTTTTAAATCTGTGTAGTATTAACCTTTTATTCTGTAGATTGTCCGTCTCCGTAATGTGTCTGCCGTGTAGGTGTCGAGTGTGTTTAGTTCTGTCTGTTTTATTGTGTTCATATCGAATTTTCTAACACATTATATTGTGTCTCCGCAGGGTCTGCAAATGCTGCACTTGCTGCACTTTCCCAGCTGTACTGCAAAATTAAGAGGCTCCACAATAGCCATGCATTATTTTAGTTGAATTTTTTTGAGCACGTGCATATATTTTAACTTTTAAGCCTAATTTTAAAACTTCAGCCTCTTTCGACTATATGTGGCTATACCGGCCATATATGTGGACAGATTTTGGAACAGTATTACTTAAGCTCGATTTCCTTAAGCATTGAACAGGTATAGATCGCCCCCAAATGTGTTTTTCGAATAATTCTTGCCTCTTTTCGGTTATGATTTTTATTTTTAAGTGATTATTTTTCGTTATTTAGTTTGAATATTTTGTTCTGTTTTTCTTCCATTTGCCATTACTTTAATTTTATTCATTTATATTTAAATATTTTTTATTTTTATACCAAGCAAGGCTTCTGAGAGTTGGTCTCCGTCTGCTTTTGTGGATCGATCGATTTTCAAGGGTTATTTTTCTTATCATTTTCATTTTCTTATTATTTCTTTATTTTTCTTCCTTATTTCATTTACATTATCATTTACATTCATCACTGCACGTTTTTGGTTCTTCGCATTTCAGAGATAATTTCTTTTATGGCTAGATCGCGGGAAGTGTTTCAGGAATTCATGAGCTAATAGTACTAGCATCAAGTACCTGATCTCGTAGTGTACAAATGTATCAAAACAAATTATAAAAATTTTCGTCAGAAATTTTAACTGTAAATAAGAGAAGCTGGCATGAGAATGTACATAATACCCAAGCTACCCCCCACACATCATGATATAAGCATAGAGTATATTTTACCTGATTTAATGCCCAAACATCTATGTACAAATAACAAAATAAAAAAATGAAATTTTTTTTATAGTCCTAAGTAGTCGTAAACAAATAAAAGAAAAGATGCAATACAATAATTAAATATGTTTTAATAAAATTGTTGGATAGTTAAAGGTACTAAAGGCTTCACCCCTCCCCCCAGACTGTTGACAAGCATGCAATAAATGGCCTTCGGTGAGAATGTGGGATGGGTATGGGTGATGGAATGTTTGTTATTCCGAATCGCTGCTGCCCGACTTGTGCTCTTCCTCGTCCTTTTTCTCCTCAGTCTTGTAGTGGCGATACTCCTTTTTGAGCTCCCACATGTTTTTGTGCGGATTTTTCATGTTGTAGTCGCAGACATCCTTGAGAATCTCTTTCAGATAACTGATGGGTTGATTGGTGATCTTGACCAGATCCTTGATGTTGTAGTACTGATGCTTTTCGAACGCATGGAAGAGCATATCCATCACGGAATTCTTGTCGTCACGAGCCTTCTTGCCCTCCGCCTTCTTACGCTCCCGATACTCGATCTGAAAATACCCAAAAATCAGTGTTTGACACAGAAGCACATAAATGATGTACTGAGTTACATTATGAGCGTGGTCCTTGACCGGCTTGAAGTTCTGAACAATCTTATCGATGGGCTGCACCCGGCGCTGGGGCTCCGACGCTTTGCGAATGGACTCCAGTTTCAGTTTCATATAGCATGTGTCCGCTATGGGGCGGCACTCCAACTTCTGGACTATGCGGCCCTCCATATACAGCTTCTCGTTGTCCGGCGTGGCTCCTGGTGCCGTGGAGTTCTCCTTGCCAATGTTGGCCGCCGCCTCTGGAGCCATGTGCGAGAATACCCCCAACGTCTGCTTCGTCACCTGCGACACGTCCAGAACATGCTCGGTGGGAATCTTCTCATCGGGATCGAGGGCCAGCACAGCAGGTGTGAGTGAGAGTGACACCTGGGCCTTTTGTCCCGGCGTCTTGCTGATCCGCAGTTTGCCCACGTCCATATTTGACGGCGCCTTCTCCCATTTCTGTGCAATGTATTTGGGCACTTTGACCAGCCAAACGCCACGGCCAGCATTGGAAAGATCCAAGTCCTTGTCAATAATTTGCACTTTATCTTTATCGTCTTTAGACATTTTAAACTGATATAAAAAACAGGACAGTCCGGCTATCAAACGAGACTTAACCCACTTAACACCCCTCTATTTAAATAGTTGAGCACCCTTTCTTAAACCTCGGAAAATAATACTGTTTGGAAAGGCTCCTTGTAGATCCATCCTCCTCTTTACTTACAAAACAAAAATGACCACCAACATCTTTCACCTGTAATGCGAAAAATATGTTAAAGTTACATAAATTTCGTGGAAATATTACATACCCCGCTGGTCGACAATGGGATAACGTTCTATATTATTGATTGAAATCGTATTCCATAATTCTGGTATTCGGTTTAATGTTACTAGCTAGTTGGCCCTCTCAGCCCTACACAAATTATTTTATCCGATAGATATATCAATTTTCTACAAGATTAGCTAGTTTTCAGAACTCTTTTTCATTGGATTGTTTACATAATAAGGTTCAAACAAAAATGGCCAAAGCATAAAACGTAATGTTGACTAAATGTGACGTCATTGTTGCACCGGAGCTGCCCACTCAACGATAGAATGAACCGTTACGCAGCACTGATCAGTCAAGCCGGTACGTCGCTACCCAGCACTAATCAGCTGTTTGATATCCAATTGGAACTTCTGATTAGATTTTTCACGACGCTGGGCTTTTTGCCAATTAAGCTGAGAGATAATGGCACCACCATCGGCACGAGCTCGATACATTGCCAACAAAGCAGACAAAGCCTTGACAAAGCCACCCAAGCGACTGGGTCTCAATGGCAACAACAAGGACGCCGCCCCGACCGGCAACAAAAAGGAAAAAGAGTCCAAAAAGCGGTAACTACGGGGGTGATATGAGAAATGAAAAATATCCATTGAATTAGGATGTGAATGTGGATTTTTCTTGCAGAAAGCAAACCACAGGCAATGCAATGCCGGAGGCGAGCAATGCAAATCCGATCACGCCCAGTGTCGGGCTGGACACGGCATTCAAGACATTCGTGAGTGCTCGCCTGTGCAGCGCCATTTGGGCGTACATTGCCGACTGCGATGAGACGTTCAACTACTGGGAGCCGCTGCACTACATCATCAACGGGCACGGCCTGCAGACGTGGGAATACAGTCCGGAATTCGGTCTGCGCTCGTACACCTATCTGCTGCTGCAGGGTGTGCCCGGCTACTTCTACCAGAAGATCTTCAATCCCAGTCCCATACTCATCTTCTACATGGTGCGCTGCATGCTGGGCTTTGGCTGTGCGGTCATGGAGCGGTTTATGTACAAGTGCGTGGCCGTACCCTCCCACGTGGCTACCATTCAGAATGTCTCTAACGGCTCATGGGACTCCTTTCAGATCGATTTGTCAGGAGTTTGGCATACACATTGGACGCCTTTGGCTGATCTTCCAGCTGTTCAGTGTGGGCATGTTCGTGTCCAGCACGGCGCTGCTGCCCTCCTCGTTCTCCATGTACTTTGGCTGCTCCGCTCTGGCCGCCTGGTGGCAGCAACACTACAGCCTGGCCATTTTCTTCACAGCCATCTCGGCGCTGCTCGGTTGGCCTTTTGCCGCACTGATTGGAGTGCCGCTGGTGCTGGAAATGCTGCTGCGACAGCGCGACTGGAAGACCTTTGTCCAGTGGTCCCTGATTTCGGGTGCGACAGTGGCCATTCCCATGATCGCCATCGATACGAGCTACTTTGGCAAGCTGACCTTCGCGCCGCTGAACATCGTCTGGTACAACGTCTTCACCAGCCATGGACCCAACATTTTTGGCACTGAACCCATCAGCTATTACATTTTGAATGGTTTCCTCAACTTTAACATCATTTGGGTGAGTCTGAGTCGACGCGATAAACCCACCTGCAGGCATCTTCATTTCTGCCTCCACTTTAGCTGCTGGCATTGCAGCTGCCCATCATGCTGGTGCTGGACTATCTGATTGTGCCCGCCAAGTCCAAGTCAACGCTCAACTTCCCCCACTACATCTCACTGGCGCCGCTGTACCTGTGGCTGCTGGTCTTCTTCGCCCAGCCGCACAAGGAGGAGCGCTTCCTGTTCCCCGTGTATCCGCTGATCTCGCTGTGCGGCGCCATCACCGTGGATGTGTACCAGCGCATCTTCTTCCGCTTCAAGATGCTGATATTCAAGATCAAGGCGGGCGTCCACTACCTCGACCACACCATGTTCATTGCCATCATTGTGATGGTGGCCAGCACACTGTTGGGGCTGTCGCGCGTCTTTTCCCTGTACCGCAACTACCATGCACCGATGGACCTGATGCTGGAGCTGAATCAGTTCAAGGTGACGCCCCAGTACAATCCGCATCAGATCTACAATGTGTGCATTGGCAAGGACTGGCACCGCTACCCGGGCAGCTTCTTCTTCCCGGCCCGCAACTTCCGTTTGCGTTTCCTCAAGTCCGAGTTCCGCGGCATGCTGCCCGCCTACTACGTGGACGGGCCGAATGCCACCCAAGTGGTGCATCCCTACTTCAATGATCTCAACCAGGAGAACGAGCACATGTACTTTGACTACGATCGCTGCGACTTCCTGGTGGACTTTGATGAGGGCAAGTACACGGCGCTGGAGCCGAGCTACTCGAAGCGCACCAAAGACTGGTCCATCATGAAGAGTCTGCCGTTCCTCATACCCGAAAAGTCGCACCAGCTGCTGCGCGCCTTCTACGTGCCATTCCTCACCGACAATCACATCCAGTACGGCGACTTTAATTTACTCAAACGCAAAACCAAACGCAATGCCAATGCCAATAGCAATGGCAGGTAGGAAACGGATTGGATTGGATCGGATTGAGCAAGGAGGAGTACAAACGACAGCATTTTCCTATCTATCAATTTTAATTGTGTAATTTAATTTAATTCCCACGCCCCCCACGCCCTACCCGCCGTATTCTTTGCCCCTTTCCGCCTTCGTTTTGTATTATTGCAAGGCCACCGATATGATTCCTAAACTCACAGTATCAGTTTTTATATGTTCCCCCATGCCAAAGTTGTAAAGTTCGTTCCGCATCGAAGTAGAATTTAAGCCTTCGCGACATTATAGACATCGAGATTCTCTTTAAACATTATTTATCTTTATGTATCTATATTTTGGAGAAGTTTTTCTCTCGCTCTCTCTCTCTCTCTGTCTCTCTTTAGCTGGGAAGCAAAAACTTTACAATGGAAATCGCTTGGACTTAAGCCTAAGATCAAGTGTGTGTGCGTGTGTGTGTGTGTGTGTGGGTGCGGGGGGTCTGTTTACAATGCTATATTTGGTCTACTCAATGTACATACATAGTGCTGGGGGGGGTTGTGCCCTAATCCTAATCCTAAACTGACTTAGCAGCAATATTTACAAAACTCCTCTCATTCTGCCCCACCCCCCAACAGCTTCTAGAAGTAGACCGTCAGATTGTTCTCCGAGGAGCCCATGGCATCGGTGGCGGACAGCAGATTCGATTGGCCCGCATTCGCCGAGCTGGTGCTAATGGTGGTGACACCTCCTCCTCCTGCCACTGCTCCTGTGCCTGCCGTGGCTGTGGCCACTTTTCGATTGTTGTTCTCCGGCGGCGTCGTCGTCGACGTCTGCAGCGAGTCGTGCTCGATCTCGTCCTCCTCGTACAGCTGGCCATTGGCCGAGGCACGCGACACGATGCCTGGCAAGAAGACTATTAATAGTCAATGTTCGGGATGAGTTTTTGGGGGGGTGGGAAAGGGGTAAGGATTTACTGCGAACTTACTGCGAACTGTGGCTGCATAGCTCTCCCGCTGGCGCTCCCTTTCGCGCTCCCGTTCCCGCTCCAGCAGGGCGGCGGAGCTGCCCAGAGCCATGCTGCTGCTGGCGCCACTGGCCACATGATGCAGCCCGTTGTTCATGGGATTGGCCATGGTTATGTTGCCGCCATGCTTCATGTGCAGCACCGAGACACCGCCGCTGGTCACGCTGGCACCGTTGCCATTCCCAGCCAGCTTCTCGTGCGTCACCAGATTGGCGGGCGAGACGCTGCTGTGCGCCTGGCTGTGGACCCTGTTCCGGCCGAGACCCAGCGCACTGGCACTGCTCTTGCCCTGCTTCTTGGAGCGCACAATGTAGCAGCTGAGGGCCACGATGATCATCAGGAAGAGGCCCACGATCATGCCGAACATGCCCAGCATATTGCTGTTCCAGCCGGACTGGGCCAGCGTCAGGCCCTCCATGGTGACGCTCACCGGCACGGAGGTGCTTCTGGGCGGCACACCCGTGTCCGTGGCAATGGCTATCAGGTGCACCGTCGACTCGTTGAGGCTCTGCAGCTGCTCCGGCCGCATGTAGATGTTGCCCGTGGCATCGATCTCAAAGAGGCCCGCGTGCTGGCCGCGCAGCGACAGCTCCAGCTTGTCGTTGCGATCCCCATCGGCTGCCTCCACCTTGCCAATGAGCACACCCTCAAAGGTGTCCGTGCGCGACTGCAGCGACTGCTGGAGGGGGATCAAGATGCGAGAATTCGGTTTGCTTATTCTGTTTAAGGGAGGTATTCGCCCGGGGAATACTCACGCTTTTGGGCACCATAAACTCGTAGTGGGTCTCGCGGAAACGCGGCTCCCAGTCGTTGACGTCAATCACCTCCAGGGTGAGCTCGGCGGTGCTGTTGGTCATCCCATCGCTGGCCAGCACCTGGAACTCGTGCTTGGTCATCTTCTCGTAGTCGAGCGGCTTGGCCAGCACCAGCTCCCCCAGCGAACCCACGCTGAAGAACTGCGAGTTCACCGGATCCGGAATGGTGTACTTGAGGTGTTTGCCCGGCTTGTTGGTGGGCAGCGCCAGGATGCGATTGCCCACCGCCGTGTCCTCGCGAATGCGCATCACGAAGCGCTTCTGCACAAAGGAGAGGGTGCTGAGGTCGCTGTGGCTGCCGGGACGCGTCAGCTGAACGGTGGTCAGGGCATAGCGGTCCGCGTTGTCGATCTGCGTGGCCTTCACCACCAGCGTCGCCCCGTGCGCAATCTCCCCATAGCCAATGGGCGTGAGCAGCGTGATCTGTCCGTTGTGCGGATGAATGCGGAAGTACTTGGCGTCCTGCGACTGCACAATGGTGTACTGGATGGGCGCACAGATGCCCTCGTCCTGATCGACGGCTTTCAGTGGCTCGGGCCGCATGCGCAGCTCCCCCGGCCGGCCGTCATTGGGCAGCTCGGCGCTGTACGATTCCCGCTGAAACTTGGGATTCTGATCGTCCGCATCGGTGATGACCACGCGCAGCAGCGTGTCCGAGTGGCGTGACGGCGTGCCCTGGTCCTGGGCGCGCAGCTTCACCGTGAAATTCTGCAGCTGCTCGTAGTCCAGCGCCTTCTTCAGCACCAGGGTGCCCTCAAGGGGATTGAGGAACTGCACGAACTCCGCATAGGGTCCGGGCAGCACCTGATACTCCACAGTGGAGAAGGGACCCGGCTGATCGGCATCCTCGGCCCGGGCGCCCTGCAGTATCCTTGTGCCCGGCACCGTCACCTCCGACAGGGTCAGCGTGTAGGGGGTGCCAATCCATTGGGGTGCATTGTCATTGACATCCGTCACGCGCACATTGACGGGAATGACGAAGCTCTGTGGAAAGGAAAGAAGTAAGCACTGGACTAGGACTAGGACTGGCACTTGGTGCGCCGCCTCGCCGCCTCGCCGCCTCGCTGGTCACTGACCTCCCCGAGAGTTCAAAGCCCAAAGCGTCGAGTCCTGCATATATTTGCATGTTTAGGCGCCGGCAGCACACCTAGACCTTCCCTCCCCCCTCCTCCCCCATAGGCAAGCGGAAGCTTTAATGGCTAATTTATGGCCAGCAAGCTGGGGCTAACCACAGGCCCACATACGAGGTGTGGCCACTCCTCCTGCTGTAGCTACTCCTTGAGTTGAGCCTGCCTGGGAGCCAGCATTTTGTTGTTGATTCTAAAATTGAAATGGGCGTCGCGTCGCGTCGCGTCTATTGTCTAGCTTTGGGCCTGGCTAAAAGTTTTCAATTGTTTATTGAGTTCTACGTTAAACCTGCAAACTTCGCTGCGAAACGAAACATGTTTTCCCGAATTTAACAAGCGCCAGAACAGAAGCGCCCCAAGGCAAGGGAACACGCACCTAGCAGGAGGCATGCTATGGGCTGGGCAGGGCAGGGGGTGGAGCAAGTCACTTCAGTAGGGGGGGGGATATAGGTTAATTGGTTGCCCCATTACGAGCATCGCACGTAAGGACTTAGGGGGACTTTGGGGTGCCGTAAGCTGCCCCGCTTTGCAGGTGTGGAATGCGGCTTGCCACACAAATGAAAAACTTCAAGAAAATGCGGCCACTGACCACAGGAGGGAAGGGGACGGGGAAGAGCAGGAGGCAATGACTGCGCAGCGTTAGATTAATTGTTGAGTTAAGCGGATCGACAAGTGCTTGGTGGGGTATTACTCCATGGACTGCCATTACTCTAGATTAAACTTCCCTTAGCGGTTATTCGCTGCTTTCACTTACCGGATCCGTTGAATGCCTTCGAATGCAAATAACATTCACATAAATCGATGAGGGCCCGCGGACACCCTCCTTGTCCAGTTCGACGGACAGGGCCAGCTCCTTGCTGCCTGCCAAAATCTCAACGGGCGCCGTCTTCTCCCGCAGCGAGAGGCTGATGTCGCCAGTGTCTGCATTGGGATCGCCATTGATGCGCAGCTTGCCAATTATGGAGCCCACTGCGAGATCTTCGGTGGCCAGGAAACTCTCCGCCGAACCGCCGCCCTCCAGATAGCAGCGCGAGTCGAGTATCGCCCCAATGCTGGCTGCAAATTCAAATTAAAACGAGAAGTGAATGATGAATGTCTCCCTTTCAGGTTTACTTTCGGCTCGAAAACAAACTACAGCTACAAGCTACAAGCCAGAGGAAGCCACCACCACAGTGAACAGAGAACAGAGAGCGGAGCGGAGCGGTCCAGTGAGTCAGCCGGAGTCCGGACAGCCTAGACATGTTTGCTCTCTCCTTCTCTGTTTGGATACGCTCTACTAAGCTTCCGTTTTTCTTTTCTTTGCTGCAATTTAAGGCATCGTCCGTCGTCCATTGTCCGCTGTCCATCGTCAGTGCAGGTGCCAGAGAGCTTTGAAGACCAACCACCAACATTGGCTACACTCTCCCTCCCCATTTCCATTGCCACATGTGGCTAAACTTGGCCATCGCCTGGCAGTTGGCCAAATGGAACATGCCTCTCGTACATGCCGCCGTGGCTGTGGCTGTGTGGCTGTGTGGCCTGATGCAGCGGACGTTTCCGGACAAGCTCTGATATCTAATTGTGTTATGGGTGCAATGGGTAAACGTAAACTCTGAATAGTCATGCAAATTTACATAGCTGGAAACACTTTGCCTTTCCTTTCCCCCAGTCTGATTGCTGCCAAGAAAATAGCAAATAACAATTTTAGATAATTGTTTAACAATTATTTCGGAGCTTTCCTCAAGCTGTTTAGCAGATGGAAATTCAAGAGCAAAGCTGGGAATATTTTTGTGAATTAGTTTCAGATCAATAAAGACGCCCAGAACTTTATTTACGTGGGGGTTTGTCTAGAGGCTGCCTTCCCCTGGCCATTTCTCTTACATTTCTCTAAATCTGATATGGTTAAAGATCTTCCCCAAGTATTCTCTAGAGAATGTTCTCCATTACCATGCTAGGTGTTACCCCATGGGAGCATGACATAACACCTTCTGATGGCTTAATGCAATGGCAAACTCTTTCTAGTATTTCTCATAATTATTTCCAGTTTTAGGCTACAAGTACAGTAGCCCCCCTGCTGCCCCCTGGCCAACAGAACAACTCGTTTCAGATGTTCCACAAA